TTATTGAGTTTCTGTCTATATTTCTGAGATGAGGTATTATGTACACTATTTACATTATTCGGACTATTATCCTCATCTTTGTCATCATAAAAATAAAGGGTTTAGTTCAACATTCCAACCACCTGAAGAAGGCCAAAGCCTACAATGGCTGAAACCAGTGGCGCAGACCCGGGTGCTAGCACAAACAAAATTTTTCAACCAGGCTAAGGTGCCAAAAATAGTCTGAAAACAGTGGTGGAGACACAGGGTTTCACAGGCGGGCATATGACACCCCAGAAATAATTTATGACCCCCCAGTTTTGTCCCCCCATCAGAAATTTTCTAATAAATTTTCGGGAAATTTGTGAGTAGGAAAAATAGCAATGTTTTCAGTTTTCATGTGTTTCAGTTGCTACAATCTTGGTTACTAACAAGAGACATTGTTGTAACATTTTATCGGATGATATGGTGTTTTAACTCTGCATCATTAATAACAAAAAAGCGAAATACGAAGCCAAAAGTGCAACAATTTCAGTCTTGCCTGAGTATCAATTTGCTGAGATACAATTTTCCATTGAGTGAGCGATATACTTTTGAATATATCTACCAGTGTTGGAACGATTAATCGGAATCGAGAATCGGAAAAATTTGTGCCTATTTTCCGATTCCAAAAACAATTCTTTTAAATTTTTAACTTAATTTTCCATTATTGGTACTAATGATAAATATTTATTGTTTTTAAATTATCACTAAAACTAAAATCATAATAACATCAAAATACAATGTAAATTTATTTTACTTGTATAAAGAAAACAAAAAAATAAACTGCATAAATTCTCTAGGTAACCTTTAAAAGAATTTTCAGTTTGATTTACAATGTTCTAAAAAAAAAAAAAAAATTAAATTTCCATTTTTTGTCAAGAAAATACTTTCAAACATCATTGATAATTAAATGGTACCCAGAAAATGATACACTGGAAAATTAGCAACAGAAAATTACGTCAACCATGAGCCAGTCAAGACTGTCGAATCTGGCTGTACTGTCCATTGAAAACGAGCCTACAAGACAAACAGATTTTGATGATGTCATTGACCAGTTTGCCACAATGAAAACATTCATTCTAAGACCATAGTATCGAATGTCATTCTTTTGTGTATTGCCGTGTTTTGTATTTAGTTGCTCTGAAAGTGAACAGTTGCATTTTAAAAATCTTTTGATTTAAACTGATTATTTTGTGGTATTGGATTTTGTCTTGGATCATACATGTAAACAGTAACGTACCAGTCAGTTGAGTAAAGTAGAGGTAGAGCATGTATGAAAATTTAGCTACAGCTAACCATTCAGCATAGGGTGAATCGGGGTCATTGGGGTAACATTTGAGCGGACCGCCCTGGGTGACGTTTACTCTAGCTACGCCACTGGCTGAAACGTTGTAATGGTAACAAAGATGAGGACAATAGTCTGAATAATGTAAATAGTGTACATAATACCTCATCTCAGAAATATAGACAGTTACCGAAGGATCAGTACGAACCTGATACACCCAAAATATGGAGACAAATTGAAAAATGAGTAAAATAAAGGGTTCAGTTTGACATTCCAACCACCTGAAGAACGCTGGAGCATACAACAGCCAAAATGTTGTAATAAATAGGGTGACAAAGATAAGGACAATAGTCTGAATAATGTAAATAGTGTATTTATTGAGTTATATTTATCAAGTTTAATATTTATTTCTATTGTCGAGAGTAACCTGTGGAAAAAAATATTATTTAAACTATTTGAAATGTGACTTGTTCAAGTATGAATTTAATATGATTACAAAAATAAAATAAAGGCTTAATTTTCAAAACATTCACAAAACGCAATATTCTTGAGGAAGAATATTGTTTTATTTTCATGATACTCTTCTCTGTTTATCTTTGCAATTCTTTGATTGTATAAAGAGTTGTTTGTGGCTAAATGCTGGTTTTATTAATTGAAGTCTACACTCTTACAATGTTTAATATTTAGCCTGATTAACCATTTCTATGTGCAGTAAAGTAATAGTAACGGTTATATTTGGTTTTAAGTAATTTAGTGAAAAAAGTAGTAAAAGGAATCTAGGAAAAAAGGACTGACCATCAACTGCAAGAAGAGAGAAAGTATGGTCACCAGCAAAAGAAAAAGCCCAAGATGCAAGTTACGAATTGAAGAAGTTAAGATCAAGCAAGTACAGCAGTTTAAATATCTGGGAAGTGTTTTAACAGAGAATGGAAAATGTAACACTGAAATCTGAACAAGAATTGGATGAGTGAAAAATGCCTTCCAAAAGGAAGGGAAGATGAGCACTGAGAAATAGAAAATATTTTAATAGAAACAAAGAAAAAAGTGCTGGATTGCTGTGTGACATCCATCCTCTAATATGGCAGTGAATTCTGGACAATCTTCCTACAGGTGAGAAGAAAACTGAAGGCAACAGAAATTTGGTTCTACAGAAGGATACTGAGAATTCCATGGGCAGAGCAATTAAGCACCATGGAAGTCTTAAAGAGAATGGCAACAAAAAGGACACTGATACTCAGAACCAAGAAGAGACAGGTACAATTCCTTAGACACATAATGAGGAAAGAGGGCTTGGTAAACTTAACCCTCACAGGGCATACTGGTGGCAAGAGAAATAGGGAAAGGAAGCAAACCATCTACCTGATGAACTGGTATGAATGGATGGTGGAAGGGAAGATGAGCACAGAGACTTTAGGTAAGGGAGAAAAACTGTTAATGGCCGCAAAAGATAGCAAGTTTTGGAAAGTCATGTTCACCCATATCCTGAAGGGACATATCCCATAAAAGAAATACTAGTGAAAAATTTACATTTCAAGTTTTAACTATGAAGAAAACTGTTGTAATAAAATACTGAAAATATTACACCACTTGTAGACCATTTGTTATACAGACCACTTGTTAAGTATTATTAATATTACAATTAAGTATTATTTTAAATATATATATATATATATATATATATATATATATATATATATATATATACTAGCCAAATTACTCGCACCTTGTTGCATGTCACATTTCTTTTTGTAAGAAAATGATGATTGATTTTAAATCATTGTTATAATTTGTAGAGAAAAATGATGCATTTCAATATTATTCAATGATCTTGCCAATGTGACCTCCATCTTCTGGCTTTCTCCTTCTATATTTTGGATAGGAGTCATTCCCTTGTTCAAATTTAAATTAAATCAAATGAAAAAGAATTTTCAGTGGGAGGTTTGTGCACACTGGGGACCCTTTTGATCAAAATGAAATATACTTATCCAAGTACCCTGGGTGAATTGATTAAAAAAAAAAAGAAGATATGAAATTCATTGTAATACCATCCTGAATATGATGATAAACTACATCTGGCAGCTAGGCTTCTAATCAAGGGTTTTTGAGGACTGTGGAAGTACCTCTTAATTGCTGTTGTTCCGGTGTTATAGCACCTGTTAGGGTCCCAGCTATATGCAAATAGTAAAACCCCCAAACTATGATCAAAACATTATGAAAGTATAAAACTACCAGCAATAGATTTTAATGGCAAAAAAAAAAAAATATCAATGCTCCCAAGAAAATTAAATTTCGGCATTAAAAGATCCATAAGGAGTTTTGACCTTAACCTTTACCACGTTGCAGGCAAAAATAGTCGACGTAGAATTCTCTCCCTTTTGTGCTTCAGGCGCATTCTGTCGCCTTGAGATGGTTGCTAAAAATAAACACCTGTCAACTGTTATTTTCAGTATTTTAAGCTGGAAATCGCCTACTACAGCTTTGGAACATGGTTAAACTTCCATTTTACAATGCCAGTTTAAATTTTCTAGACTCTACATGAGGTGTAAATAGACTGATTAAACCCACATTAATTTTTTCATGATGTTTCGTAAACAAAAATGGCCACATTAATATCCAACAAAGCTTTTATTCAGCAGTTTTTTTTTGGTTAGGACTCCAGTGATAATTTTGAAGGCTTTTCTCGAGTGGATAATGATGGTGAAGTGGTCGAAGATCATAACCACACTAAGTGTTCATGTTTTTGCACCCTCAAAAAAGAAAAAAAAAATGCAGTGGCCAGGGGAACAATTCTAGAACAAAATTAGTATGGCAATGGTTAAACAAACAACCCAACCAATTATTGTAATAATCTAACCATAATTCTAACTTAAAGAATTCAGCTTTAACTAAAGGAGAAGGTAAATTATTAACATAAAAATAGGCATAAAAGGTACTGAGTTTCTGAGTCTTCCAAGGAAAATTTTGTTCAGTTTCATACAGCATATCACCTTTCTTAATCTTAAACAAAACCAGTGATATTACAATATGAGATATTTAAAAACAACAGTAATAAAAATGAAACTAAAGCAGAAGGAAGCTGAATGAGGCCATATAGACACACCTGATGCCCAGAATCTGTTTTAATTGATAATTATAACAGTCATTTGTTATTTTGCTTCCTGTAACTACATAATGGTGATTCCATCACTGAAAACCATTTTTTTTACTCTGTAAAATTCCTTGGACTTTTTCCATTTGTCATTCAATTACCCACCATTAATCAGATATATAGTTTTTATAACATATTCATCCATATCATTCAGCAGAAAAGATATTTAAGTTACCTTGAATTAATTATTACTATAAAAGGTTACATAATAAAAGGTTGGACTACACTTGTTACCTTGTACCAGTCAAGACTTCTTTAATATATAACATCTTTTTACATAAAAGATTATTTGATACATTGGATCAATATATACATTATTTACATATTGATTATTTTCCTCATCTTTGTTGTTGCTGTCACTGGTTAGGCAAGATGCATACTTCCAACAGACACTAGGTCAAGTACACTTTAAAAAAGGTAGATAATCATGGTTAGGACCACTTCTTTTTTTTTTTTTTTTTTACTTAAATAGATGGTAAATAAGAGTTCACAAAAACAATAACAGATGAAGCAACATATTATTAAATAAGAAAGCTGAAAATATACCTGTTTGTTAGGGTTTTCACCTGAGCCAAGAAATTTTCATTGTCAGTTCGAAGAGATTTGTTTGCAGTGACCTGTCTACTCACTTCACTTGACGAGGCCTGATGGAGGGGGAAAAATATCAGAAACATAAAGGTCATTTATTGTTTCATGTGGCTGAGAAAAATAATGTCAATGAGGAATGCTCACAAATATTAATCAGGTTAGCTGAAAAGCTAGACAAACTATGGAGGACATAAAAGGACACAATTCAATGTCTAATAAATGAAAGTTAGTAAGTGATGTTCTTGAAGTTTTTTTTTATGTAAATTGGTATTTAAATTATTTTAGTTTAAGATTAATCTATGTTTTGTAGCATGAGATTATGGATTTAACTGGTTTCTTTTAACTTTTTACATTTTTGTAGTCATGTATGTTGGCTTGGGAAGGGAGTAATTCTTTCAGGAATGGAGATATTGGAAAAATCCAGGACACAGATTTATATTTCAATGCAATTCAATAGCAGCACTCCTGAGAATTTTCCAGTTCCTTTCTCTTTTAATAAGTGTGGAATTCTTTAGATGAAAACACAAATTTGAATCTAAAACATTTTTTTTAAAAATTCAACAAAATCACTGTTACAGGATATGTAAAATATTCCTTGAACTTGTAGAAGAAAAACTTCAAAAATTTCTATAAATAAAAATTTAGCAAAACAAACAAATTAGACATTCAAATCATAGTGGACACATTATTAAAACACATTCAATCAGTTTCAAACAAAATAAAAAACAGTTTTTATTGAAAATTATTAATTTGATATGAAAGTTATAAATCACAGAAAAAAATTATAAAAATTACAACACTTAAAGCATACATCAAATAATTAATCTGACAAGTTTCAGCTTTTAAGCATGTATAGTTAGAAATTTTATACTCTTGAAGTAACACACTTTCAAGCAGAGCTGAGCTATTTCTTTATTATAAAATTTGGAATTAACACTTTTATTTTGTCCTGTTGGTCATGTTCTTTGTGGATCAATCATATATTTGTTTGTTTTTTTGTTTTTTTCAAGGCTAAATTTTCACCTCTTCACTCCTCCAGAAAATAATGTATATTATTTTGCAATTTCTTTGAGTCGATCCACATTATTTTTCCAAGTTCCTTGAACTAATGTAGATTATTTTTTAAGTTGAAGACATTGCACAGTAATTTTTTTTTTTTTTGGCAAGAGAAATGCAAAAGAAAAAAGAAAAAGATATTGAGTTTGGAAAGAAACAAAATATTTTACCCTCAATGGAGGTTTCTGCAACAATGTTCTTTTGAACAGGAAGGAGTAGAGGTTTATCGCTTGTTTTCTGTTCAGGATTAGGTTTCCAGTTCCATCTAAAGTTACTCTATGCTTCTAACAGCTCTATCTGAACTCTGAAATGCTATTCACTAATTAAATCTTGACCTCTTCAAGTCTAGAATTAGCCTTTCCTACATAGCCCCAAGAATTTCATTTCTTGCCTTTTCTTACACTCATACAACACCATGAAGTAACTCTCTACCTTGAGTGGCTTTTGGGCCTTGTATTGGGTGAATTAGTAAAAAAACAAAAAACAAATGGGAAACTGAAATTTTTTACTTCATGCTATCAAGTAGTAAAAACAAATGACAGAAATTTGGTGTGTTTCTGTTCAAATATTGGCTCATGATATGTTTTCCAAAAGCAACATTAGCCATAAGGCAAAGGAATTAATTTATAACATTCCGACTAACCACCATGTTGAATGGGATACAACAGTATAATAAACAGTGTTACTAATTTATGCCAAACGCAGGAAAGTTTCAAATTTACTAGTGCATAGTAATTATGGATTAACAATAAATAATAAGAACATTTATAGATGAAGAAATCTAAAGATTCTTTACTGAGGAACAAGGCCACCATTTAATCAAGAAACAAACATCTTTTAATGTATGAGAGTAAATCAATAAGTCCACAGCCTGAGAATTATTAGCTGGAATTCTATCTGAAAATACTCAATAAATTTTCAAGCTAAGTGATTAATATTCATCAATAAATTAAATTTATTTTTTTTTTTTTACAGTAAGGTTTACCTCGTACAAGGCTCGAGAGTCACTCAAAGTAGAAGGTAAGAGGTAGTTTATATGGATATGAGAGGAAGATAATGGTTAACTCTAGACATAAACAGATTAAGATTGTAGTGATTCGGTGTTACGTCCTCTTGAGAGTCTGTTTCACAAAGCAATGGTTCATGGGAAGAAGTGGTTTGAGTGAAACTTATTAACAATGGAATATGGAGGGAATGTGGGTGGTTTGCTAATATGTAAGTGGCATGGCGGGTCCTAGTTATAAAGGTTAGACTTGGTGGAACCAAGGAATGTAGTTCGTCTGAGCATTTTCTATGGAAGTAGCAATAGAGCAGTGAGATGCTCGCCACATACCCCCTGTGAGAGAGAGAGAGAGATTGGAAGGTGGAAAATAATTTGTCATCCACTAGAACTTGCAGATGCTTTTGAACTCTATCAAGACTGGAAAGTGAGGACTGGGCAGCTCTTGCCTAAATACAACAACAGTACTCCATTTTTGGCCTGATTTGATGAAGAAAAAGAGTATGTAGAAAAATATATATATCTTGTATAAAATAAATACATTTTGTCATTAGGCTGTAAGGCATAATGATGTACACTACAGTTGAAAAAGTTTGAAGCCACCCCAACAAGAATTAGCATGAGATGAACTTGACAGAAGAGTGAAAAAAAATGAAAAAGAGCTTTTAGAGTCATTGAAAAACGAATGGAATCAATTATCAAACTTATACTTTGAGAAACTTTTGCAACAAATGCCAAAGATTTGTGCTGCAGTAATCAAGAGTGATGGAGGATATTTTGATGAGAGCAGAATTTAATCACGAAATGCTTTTTTTTCTTTTTGCTATCACAAAATTTCTTTTAAAACTCACATCTCACTTTTTGTATAATAATTTTCTCTTATTTAAAGTACAAAACAACTATTTTTTGGGCTAATGTAAAAGATTAGAAGAGGTTGTATGAAACTTTTGAACTGTAGTGTACCTATATATTGTGAAAAATCCTTTTAATGTTTTTAAGATAAGAAATACAAAAAGTAATTCTTCATGTTTTGAGCTTAGTGTAAAAGTTTAAAAAAATGACAGTGTGTACAATTAAAAACAGGAGTAATTGCTTGAAATTTAGATTATAAGAAATGATGAACAGTTATTATTCATTTTTCAAGTTAGAATACCATTCTTGCCTACCTTCAGTCGCGCTTCCAAATCTTTTTTATTCTGTTGTAATTCTGATATTTGTTTTTGCAGTTCTGATGTCATGTTTTTTTCTTCTGCTTTCAGAATTTCCATTTCCTTTTTCTCAGAAAATGCTGACTTTTCTTCTTGCAGTTTGTTAAAGTCTTCCTGAAGCTTCTGTAAATTTTGAAACAAATAAGATTTAGTCTGGAAGAAAAAAAGATCTTATAATGATTTTCGTGAATTTTTAACCTAAGATCAAAGGAAGAAGTGACTGTCATATTGCAATATAATTCAGTGGACAATTTGAATAAATCATAAAAAAAGAACTGTACCAAATAATCACTTGATTGATTTGTTTTTTACAGCTTAACAACCTTTCACAGGTTATTTAAAAATCAAACAGTAAAGTAGTTGTGGATGCCATAGTTTAGAGTAATGGCTATGAGATAGTTTGGATGACCATTATTTCTACCAAGTACTTTGGTTCTACAATACATTTAGTAACCAACAAGTTTTTGGATACCTTAGCATAAAGATTATGGGAGTAAGGAAGAAAGGTGATGATTGATCCTTGACTTGAAGATGTCAGGGAATTAACAAAAGAGTTTGCTTGACAAAGTAGCAATTCTTGGAACAGAGCTTTATTTTTACTAGTAAAAATACTAATAAAAACACTGATAATTAAAAATGTATTAAAGGCAATATTACAACAATATTACTAGTGTATGTAAAAACAATAACATCAAATATGGCACTATGTGATCAAAGAAAAATAACGAGTGAGCTTCTAATCTCTTGCAATTGTTAGTTCAACAAAAATTAAAGCAGGTTTAGGTGCCTTAATTTGGTGTAATGGTTAATGAGGTAGCTTGGTTGTTATTTCAACTGAGGATTTTGATTCTATAACAGACAAGTCTTTGTACACTTCAGCCTGCGATATATAGACAAGTTTCCCAAAGATAAAAGAGATAAAACTCATGAAGTGATTGATTGTTATTTTTGGTCTTTACATTTTACTGACGGTTGAAGAACAATGATCTGAGTAGACATTTTGAAAAACAACTAAAACAATGCATGACAATGCTTCTAAATAAATAAATGCAAATGTCAGTGTGTCACACTTTTTCAGCTTTTTTCATGGAAGCAATAGCCCAACATATACATTTTTAGAATCAGGCCAATTCCATGAGCAAATTAAAAACATTCCAGGCTGGATCAGGACCTGCAATCCTGAAATTCTGGATTCACAAGTTTTCATTATTGCAATTGTTTTTGGCAATTTGTTTCATATGATTTTTTGTGAGAAATTTTTTTTCTATGATAACAATTTTTATAACTTGGAAATAAATTTGGGCATCATTGAAATTAAGTGTGAAGTCCAGTGAAAGTCACTCATGAAATAAAATGATTGTATGTAAAGTAAGGACCTACATACATCAAATTGTCTTTAAATAAGGTGAGAGCAGAAGAATTATTGTTGAACTTTTAAAAGGTAAGCTTAATATTAATTCAATACTTAAATGTGGTGATCAATTTTGAGTTCTATTGTAGTTTATTGTTGCCTATAGCTTACAGCATTAGTATGAATTGCAAAAAGAAATCTCTGCCAACATATGACCAAATTGCAATCAAAAGAGCCAAGGCTGTAGCAAGCAAAAGAAAGTCCCGTCCAAATGAAAACCCTGATTAAACAGCAGCTAGGACAGCTTCCACTGCTGAGAATATTCATAGACCTAGAGACTCTCAAACTCCTGAACAAGCCGAAGGGCCAATTAAGATCCCTCCACAGAAGCTAGCTTAAATGCTGCCTGATAGAGCAGCTTTTAAGCTAGCATCTAATAAAAATTCAACATAATATTACTAATAGCCATAAACTGACAGTTTGAATAGTTGTAATGAAAAGAAATTAAGATGAAAGAAGTACTAATCAAAAATTAATAATGGCTGACAATTACAAGATATATTACTAATGGCTATAAACTGAGAGTTTAAACAGTTATGTTGAAAAATTATGATTAAAATTAAAATGAATGGAATTCTAGTAAAAAATTTACAATGAGAGACATGAGGTGTTTCATTGTTCTTTTTTTTTTACCTGGGAATGTTGTCTGACAGACTTCAGTTTTTGATTAGCCAGTGTTAAATCTGCTTGTAATTGCTGCACAGTCTCTTTGAGTTCACCAATTGATTTAAATGCTGAAGAACGGCAGCTCCTCAAAATGACAATCTGCAAATATATGAAAATTACAACTTTATCAAACAAAACAAATGCACATATTGTACACAGAAATTCTGAGTTGAAAATTAAAATATCCACAAACAAATAACATTGGATTCTTTTCTTGCTTCCTTGGGTGCCATGTTTGATACACCCTTGGGTAGTCATGTCTGTTTTTGATACATGTTTGACTTGAAAGAAGAATTCTCACCACATTACATTCTGTGGTACACTGGTTGCTAACCAGGACTATAGGACCCAGTCTGTATTGCTATTTAACCCATAGATCAATGTAGAAAAGATGGATTCCTACCATCAAGAGGATTTGTGTGTAAGTGAATGCAATGAACTAGACTGAATTCAAATATGGCTCTCTAATTTCTCAGTGAGAACATTGGATTCAACAAAGTTTTTTTTCTGAACCCAAAATATCTAAAGATTAACAAAATATTTGGCTGCTTTTGTACAGTTTTACATGAAGAGTTATTGAAAAAATTGTCTGTTTGTAAGACTGATAAAAAAAATATAATTTGAAACCTCCATTAATAATTTGAGGCATTGTCATAGTATATTTATCATGGAGTTTTCAAAAACCCTATTTAAAATATGATAGATATATCATTTAATTTTTCTTGTTCTTCCTGGTTTTTATATATTTTTTTAATGCCAAATGAATCTGTGAATAAATAAGCATATATATTGGAAACTGGATTCATGTTTTTCATTTTTACTTCACTGTTATTTCACCTTTCATTCTCTAGGAAACACAGAAGGCTTTTCTCAGTTTTTGTGCAGAACTGAAACACAATGAAGGGTTAAAGATTAAGAGAGCACTCACAATCCTAGCAAAGAACTTTGTTTTGAACAGGAGAAGAGATAACTGTATACATATATAAGGAGGGTTTGAAGAGGCCGAAAGTGTTTTTTTTTACACCAGACAGGCTTCTTCTTTTTTTTAAATTTTATATAAAATACTTAATGATTTTTGGGCAGACCAATTTATTAAAACTTTATATAAAATAGTTTAATGCTTTATGGGCAGATCAATTTTTTTTTAACTTTATTATATAAAATAAAATAACTTAATGATTTCCGGGCAGACCAATTTTTTAAACTTTATATAAAATAGTTTAATGGTTTCTGGGAAGAGCAAATTTATTATGTAAAATAGTTTAATACATTTAGGAGAGGGAAATTATTTTAACTTTATTATATAAAATAACTTAATGATTTCTGGGCAGACCAATTTTTTTAACTTTATATAAAATAGTTTAATGGTTTCTGGGAAGAGCAAATTTATTATGTAAAATAGTTTAATACATTTAGGAGAGGGAAATTATTTTAACTTTATTATATAAAATAACTTAATGATTTCTGGGCAGACAAATTTTTTTTTTAACTTTATATAAAATAGTTTAATGGTTTCTGGGAAGAAAAAATTTATTATGTAAAATAGTTTAATACATTTAGGAGAGGGAATTATTTTAAGTTTATTATATAAAATAACTTAATGATTTCTGGGCAGACCAATTTTTTAACTTTATATAAAATAGTTTAATGGTTTCTGGGAAGAGCAAATTTATTATGTAAAATAGTTTAATACATTTAGGAGAGGGAAATTATTTTAACTTTATTATATAAAATAACTTAATGATTTCTGGGCAGACCAATTTTTTTAACTTTATATAAAATAGTTTAATGGTTACTGGGAAGAGCAAATTTATTATGTAAAATAGTTTAATACATTTAGGAGAGGGAAATTATTTTAACTTTATTATATAAAATAACAATGATTTCTGGGCAGACCAATTTTTTAAACTTTATATAAAATAGTTTAATGGTTTCTGGGAAGAGCAAATTTATTATGTAAAATAGTTTAATACATTTAGGAGAAGGAAATTATTTTAACTTTAGTATATAAAATAACTTAATGATTTCTGGGCAGACCAATTTTTTAACTTTATAAAAATAGTTTAATGGTTTCTGGGAAGAGCAAATTTATTATGTAAAATAGTTTAATACATTTAGGAGAGGGAAATTATTTTAAGTTTATTATATAAAATAACTTAATGATTTCTGGGCAGACCAATTTTTTTTCTACTTTATATAAAATAGTTTAATGGTTTCTGGGAAGAGCAAATTTATTATGTAAAATAGTTTAATACATTTAGGAGAGGGAAATTATTTTAAGTTTATTATATAAAATAACTTAATGATTTCTGGGCAGACCAATTTTTTTAACTTTATATAAAATAGTTTAATGGTTACTGGGAAGAGCAAATTTATTATGTAAAATAGTTTAATACATTTAGGAGAGGGAAATTATTTTAACTTTATTATATAAAATAACTTAATGATTTCTGGGCAGACAAATTTTTTAAACTTTATATAAAATAGTTTAATGCTTTCTGGGCAGATATCACCAAATTTGTTTAGTTCAGCTGATTTATTAAGTGAAAACTGCTTCTGCTTCAACACTTGCTACCTCACAATTTTTACTTAGGAGATAAAATGTTGAAATCATCAGAATGAGGTATAGGCCAATAAACCCCAACCAACTTCTTTTCTGTTAACTTATCACATTTACTATAGTGCTTCCATTTTGGGGTCACAGCAACTGGAAGATAAAACAAGTGGGGAGCAGTTAACACAGGCAACACAAAAATTGGATTTTAAAATAGTGAAGACATGTTTGAGTTCATTTTAAAAAGGTATGAATCTATTTTCTTCTCACCACCTCCCCATTAAGAGTGAAATATAATAGAGCAGACTGGGCTCACAAGCCTTGGTTGGCAACTTGTCTATGAGAAAGACAACTCTGAATTCAAACCAAGAGAGGATCCTCTTAAGATGGTTAGATATACAGTCTGTCTGAAGTTATGCAAATCGTATAAACTACAGTAACTCAAATTTGCTTTGAAAAATAATTGTTAAATTATAAACAATTAATGTAGACACTAAAACAAAGCTAGTGTTAAATTTTCCAATAGTTTCAACATGTTTTATTAATGTTATTTGATTTATTATAAAAATGCACTCTGAAGTTATGCAAGACCAGAAAATCAGTTTTTACTTCAATAAAAGGTAATAAAATCATCAACAATTGATCAACACCTATAATAGAACAAATAACAAACATACATGATAAGTCTTTCAAGCATTTACTTCTTAATATATTGACCCACCTTCTCAATAACAATCAGCAATCTATTATTATCCATTGATTTTTTTGTGATGTCAATGGACACCTGTTGCCACTTTTGTCAACTAATGCATGTTGTAGTAGATACTTTGTAATTGCAGATACAACTACAGTAAGCCGTTGAATAACACTGGTGTCAGATGCCTTCAAATAATACTCACATTAATAGTACTTGCTCAATAATATTTGTTCAAATAGTAATCTATATAGTGATTCGAATAGAGAAATAGTATAGAGAATAGCGGTCCATATAGTAATAGAGGATAGTGTAGAAACTGATCTGAATAGAGGATAGACTAGAAATGACAATCCATATAGTATAGAGGATAGACTAGAAATGACAATCCATATAGTATAGAGGATAGACTAGAAATAGCAATTGTTTAGACTACCTACTAATATGTTTCTCCCATGATCACCTGATCCACTTAATTCAATAATGGGATTGCCTGTGTTTGCTCACTGACAATCTATGTTCAAACTCAAGTGTCATCAGCAATACTTTATTCCTATATAACAATTTTGTTAAATTCTTTACTCCAGCAGTTCATTTTCCAATATGGTGGTTTTAATTGCTACCAATAGATCTGCTTTGTTGTCATATTGTTTGTTATGTAATTTTATCTTCACAGTTGACTATATATATTTTTGATCAGATTCAGATTGATGGTGACTGTTCTATTATTTTTACTCCTGCAAACATTTTATGCTAAAAAATTCCATTTGGTAACTTTTGATACATGAGATGGAGCATTGTTATGCATAAATACTCACTTCACTTTGAAACTACATGGTTAGAACTTGGACCATTCAAAGTCTTGTCCATGAAATCACAATAGTTACTACTGTTCTGTTTAACCCATTCATTGGTTTTGAATGGTCCATAATGGTTTGGTCAACAATTCCAGCCAATATCATCACACTGCTGCCTCCTTGTTGCTTTCTTTTAGCCACAGAAACATCTGCATCAGATAAAACCCATCCTTTTGCTCATTCATCAGGTCCGTCAAGTGTCATCCAAGATCTGTTCATGAAAATTTGTCAATTTTCATATATTTTGTTTTTTTAATTTTGATGCTTTTAAATATTTGCTTTACTGAGAGGAGTTTGCCTACCCCAACCTTGACAGACCCCAATTTGTGAAGTATTCTATACCTTTTGTCCTTCTTGACTCCCTCAATTCCAGCCTTTTTAAAGATCTGAGAACTGGTCAAAAGTGGTTGTTTTTACTATAACTCACTTTATGTTTCTCTCGAGGAAACTAATTACTGTAGCCTTTTCCAATGCTTCTACTTCTCAATTTAGTTGTAGCTTCAACAGTCCTCTTTATCATTTGATGATCTCTGCAAAGCTCCTTTGATATCTCCAATATGCATATTCCCTCACTCATTAACTTGGTTATTTTCTGTTTTCAGTATTTGTTAGTTCCTTACCATTACTCATGTTTCAACACATGGAAAAAAAAAAATAGTTTAATGCTTTTTAATATTAGTTTAATCTGTATAATAAACTTTGGTCAGTCCATTTTAACAAATTCCAAATATCACAAAATAAAACTAATAAAAGTGGCTAAAAATTTAGTTAGTATTTGACCAAGGGTATAAATGGACTAGTTTAAATTTGACAAATATTGTTCTTGGACTTTTTGAATTATTAAAGTTTAGGTGATTTACATGATAACTTCAGATGAGCTGTAAACTTTGATTTTCTTTTCTTAGCTCCTTAGCTGATGTATAGGTTCCCAAAAGGTATAGGTCTGATGAAGTTTTCATGAGCCAGGCAAGATGGAAGTAAATTTAAAAAAAAG